GCCTCCGCTGCGGCGTCGCGCCCCGCGGCTCGGAGCCCCGGGCCAGGAGCCTGCGGCTGTCGCTTCCGCGCTACCCCCTCTGCGCCTGCCTTTGTTTAAGGTGTCGCCTGGGGCGGGGGCCGGGGCTGCCCCTGCTTCTTCCTCCCGTCTGGAAAGTGCCTTTTATTTATTGCTTATTTGTACAGGTCGCACGAGCCCCCCAGGACACGCTCGCAGCTGTCAGGTCGGCCCCCCACATCCCTCTGGGCGCGTGTGCAGGAGGGGTCTGGCCCTGGGATGCTTCCCAGGGGCCCTGCAACACTCCCTGGAGGGAGTTTCCATCCCTGGAGGCTGTTTCCATCAGCCAATCAGAGCGCAAATAAAGCGTTATGGACAGACAGACAGGCTTTTATAATATTAGCATGTTGGGCCCGTGCTGAAATTACTTACTATGCGCATGCCCTGAGACTGCAGTGGGAAATAGTACGAGAACAGATAAGCATGTGAGGATTCTTTAGTCCAGTACTTCTGAACCCGTGGGTCACAACTCAGAAGTGGGCCGCAAGAATATTATGAAAGGGTCGCAAACAAATTTAAAAACAGATTTTCCTTTAAAGGAGAAAAACATAGGAAAACATGGCTGTTCCCCTGCAGGCTGTCAGACTTCCAGCTGGCAAGAAGCTGCTTTGGGCTCCCTGTGCCCCACACCTCCCCTTCCCAACACACCCACCCACATACATTGCAGGGCTGGGGCTTGGGGGCAGGGGGTCGGGACTGGCTATCAAAAAATGGGTCCTGGTACAAAAAAAGGCTGAGAACCGCTTAGTCCAGGGATGAGCAAAATACGGCCCATGGGCCAGATCTGGCTGGTCAGGTATTTTCATCTGGCCTGTGATGCCCCACAATGAGTTGTGCCCTGCCCAGCCCTCCCCTGTGAAGCTAGGAGAGAGGTGCCCATGAGGACACCACCCCACCATACCCTACTGTGCCTCACTCCCATGCTGTTGAGCAAAAGGGGCCCTGCCCAGCCAGCAGCAGCTTCTGGGCAGGGCTCCTGTTGCAGCCACCCCATGGGAACCTGCTTGGCTTCCTGCAAGTCAACTTGCTCAGGACAGCCGGTAGGGAAGCAGCAGGGCTGGTAAGGGGTGTGGGTGGAGTTGCAACTGGGTGGAAGCGAGCACAGCATGGAGCCTGCGCCCAGAGTGGGTGGCAGGAGTGCACAGCTTGGGGGTGGGGGGTGAGGGGTGTAGGAACAGCCCACACTCCCCCCCCCCCCTATGGCATGCAGCCCTCTGGGGGGGTGCGGCCCCCCCCCCCCCCCCCCCCCCCCCTATGGCATGCAGCCCTCACTGCCAGGAGAAGCAGCCCACAGGGAGGTCAGGGTTTTCCTGTTTTGTGCAGGCGCTTGGTGGGGCATGGCTCCGGCCAGCGCTGCGCGTGGGGTGGGGGAAGAGTGCAGCATGCTCAGCTGACTCTATCGCTGGGGCTCTGCGCTGTGGGCCTGCAGCTCCCGAACTTGCAGTCGGGGAAGTCACACACTGGAGCTGGCTGCCTTCCCTGCCTGCTGCTGCGCAGGTCCCCGCACTCTGGTGGGAGTGGAGGGAGCCCCGCCCCCTGCTTCCCCATGGAGTCCAGCATGGGGTTTCCCCACAGCAAGTATGGGAGCTGTAGGTGCACCACACTGAGCCCCTGTGATCAAGGTGGCCAGCGCTGCGCTTGGGGCCCCTGATTTAGTCTTTCACTTTTCAGGATTTGCCTTGATACAGTTTTTGTTATGCACCTATTTGTTTTATGATTCTTTTTGAAGTTGTAGGACACGCATTTCATTTGCCAAAGCCTCCTACTGGGCACATACATTGGAAAGCTGTGCTGGAAATGAAGTGCATTGTTGGTCCAATAAAAGATAACACCCACAAAAATCCTTGCCCCTGGAGGACCATGAGAGGTCTGCCTTTGAGGAGCTAAAGGGCTACCACAAATTGTTCAGTCTACAAAAGGGACATGGGCATTGTTGTAGTGCCGCCTCAGTGTAATTAAAGTCTCATGGCATTTCTTAGTGAAACATTTCTCAGTACATAAAGGCAAATGGAACAGCTACCTAATGCTCTGATACAGTGCTACAAGGCACCCTCTTACTAAATGTTGAAGTAAATAAAACAACTTTTGGCCCTCCCAAATGCTTTTATAGGGCCAGAATAATCCAGGGAGTGTGTACATATGTGAATTGTGTGTGTATGTGCACATACAGTACAGAGAAATCCTTAAATTTTAAGCTCTTAGGGCAGGGACCCTTCTGCAGTAGTACAATAGCTAGTACAGTGGGGTCTTGGGTAGAAAAGTTAAAATTAACTTAAAAGAAATGAAAAACCTCTTTAAAATGTCTGGCTCTGCTGATTCATTGGCTTATATATGTAATGATTTACAGTCTGGTATCTCTGACTTTTTCAGTTAGAACCAAGTGCATGTCCCATTGTATGGAAGTTCTCTGCCTATTTCCAATAGTAAAAAGCTCCTGCTCCTAGCTCTTCAAAGTGCTCAAGCTTGTCTTTGATGTGTGAAGGACTGATGCCCATCCTGGACCTCAGGGTGAGGGATGGGGATTTCCCTAGTTTGAAAGAATGTTGTGCTTCTTTTGGTAGCTATTTGAAGCTATCTAGCAGTTTAGATTGTTACAGTAGCCCTTGAATGAGATGGAATATAAATCAGACCCATTGTTTTTGCTAGTGGCTATTTTGTAACTTACATTTCTAAAGCTGTCTAATGGGAAGGATGAATTAAGTTTCTAATTTTTACCATTGCCTCAAGTGTGGCAGGTTCTATTTTTATTATTAAATGTAACAAAAGAAAAAAATTAAGAAACTCTTAAGATTTCCTTGTAGTAAATGCTGAAATCAAAATACTCATTTTACTCTCATTCCAGGATTTCTTTACTGATGTAATATGCCAAGAGGATGCCTCACAAGGTGGGAGGGAAGAAATATCCCTGTAGAGGGTTCCCTTTTCCAGCTAGCAGCCAAGTTCCCTGTCCTCTCCCACTTTTCTGTCTCTGCATAAGCGAAAATCGAAACACATTACAGTAAACGACAGTAACTTCTCCATTTTCCATTACTTCTTTTCTCCAATCTGTTTCTTCAATGTGTTATATTCTTGCAGATCCATATCATTATTTTATTTCCTGTCTACCATGTTATAATTCCTATCCCATATCTTTTACTTCTTGTTTCCCCTACTAGAACAGTTCTCTTTGAGCATTCTGTTCTTAGTTTGTGTGGTTTTTGTATTTCCTTTTCTGTTTTCTTTATCCCATTTTCTCCTTTTGTCACATTACATTCTTCTCACTTTCTGACAGTAGTTTTTAACTAGTTACCTTTACTGTAGGAGATAAGAATAACTGACTTAAAAAGTTTATGGGAGAGACACTATTTGTGTCTCTCCTTGTACCACTATTGAGTGGTACAATGATAATGATAACAACTAGAGCTAGTGCAGTGAATTTTTTTAAAACAAAAATTCAGTTTGAACAACAAGAAATGAAATCTTACAGTAAATTCTTGCTTTGTAGAATGTTCACTTAAGAAAATAGTGGACAAAATACTAGGAAATGTGGGAAAGACTAATGAATTGGTGGTGAGATTTAATTAAATATTTTGATATTTCTTGCATCAAACTTGTGATTAAACTCAGTTTCCTCCTTTCAGGTGAGTTTATGCAGTCTCCATTTCCACCTCCCATGATTAATTGCACAAAGTCCATTCTCTGCAAGCTTTGAAGTTAACAATACTTTAAAGGGAATGGCTAGGCAGGCAGGGAACATGTAAAGACAAATTATTTCTTTGCAACAAAATCTGTCAAATGCTTAACTAGTGCTTTGTTCATTTCTATGGACCCCCTTTTTTTGCTTTCAACTGTCCATTTCTTGTAGAGGTGAGGACCTGGCATGAGCAGAGAGGTGATAGTAGTGTGTCTGATAGAGAACTGAGGACCTCAAAAGTCGATAAAGATTTTGGCACTCTCTATGAATATACCTCTATCTGCTAGTTCAAACAATGCTCTTCCCCAACCTGGCAATAAAGCATTTTCCAGGTTTCTTAACTTGATTTCAAGAAGTCATCTATTCCAGTAGTTTTCAGCCTGTAGTCTGTGGACCCCTGGGGGTCTGCAGACTATGTCTAAGGGATCACCAAAGATGACTATGATCAATCAAAAGTATGTGATTACCCATAGTTACAATTCAAAGGCATTCGCACCTCCTTTCGAAATTGCCAAAGGGGTCCGCGCGCCGCCACTTGAAATATTTTCAGGGATCTGCAAAATGAAAAAAGGTGAAAACCACTGATCTAGTCCATTTGTCTCTTGCAAGGCAGGTTTGACTATACCTGAACTGTTTCTGGCAAATAGTTATCTAATCTGCTTTTTAAAACCTCCAGCAATGAAGATACTACAACCTCT